AGATCTCCGCATAGGGGAGTTGCTTCTAACACTCAGGGTAGAGAGGTTGCCCTGGAGGGTACGGCAGATGCTTCGACAGTCAAACTAAGGTAAGAAGGTTTGGAAGTTCTGCACTCTTAGCCTCATCTATATATCTGGCCAATGCCTCAAGCCCAAATCAATTTCTACAGTATTTAAACAAACAAACAAAAGCTAACTAGCACAGTGAACATCTATCTCTTCAGTGTAGGCATTGTTTAAACATTGGGTTTGCCTTCCACCATATCTGTCTGAATCCCTGGAATAATAAAAAAATATTAAGAAACAACTTGTTTCTTTGTGTGTTGATATATTTATTCATCTCTTTCCTAGGTTCCCAGTGGCAGGCCAAACCAAATTAAAAGAAGCCTGTTAGTATAGCCTACAGGCTCAGCCCCTTGGACAGAATGAAGGGGCAGAGGGACAACCAGAACATATGTAGCTCAAAGTAAACTTTTAGAAGGAAGCAAAAGTGTTTTTTATGTAGATATCTAGGCAAAAGGGAGGCCCAGGGAACTGACGAGGTGGCCTAGGGGACAAGTATGAGGGCTTGTATTTGAAACCTCAGAGCCCATGGAAAAGAGGGCACAGTAGAGGACATCTGCCATGTTGTCATCAGTGCTCCTACAGTGAGATGAGCAGCAGAGGCAGCAGAATCCTGGGAACTAGCTGGCCCGCTAGCCTGTCACTCACAGCCGGGACCCATAAAGAGATCCTGTGTCAGAGAAGGTAGGCGGTTAGGACCAGCGACTGAAACCCCTTGTCCTCTATGAGTCCCGTGTCATTCAAGCACCTTAGCCTATGCTCACACACACAGATGCTGCTGCCCCACCCCACCCCGCCACCTATGAACAAGAGAGAGAGAGAGTGCATAGAGGAAGACAAGAAAATGAAGCATGTGTCTGAACATGGCAAAGACACCAGTCGAACAGAATTCTGGGTGCCTTCTGATGACTGCTGGGACAATACGAAGCCTTGGGAAAGGGCCATGAGAGGGCCTGCAGCTTGTGTCAAGAGTAGCTGCTTTCAGACCCAAGCTTGTTGCCCACAGATAGCAAAGCTGTCTCCTGTTTCCTGTATCCCCTACGTGTTTACTCATGTGTTCCTTTAAGCTGCGTGCATCATTAACGGTTTTAATAAAGTAGCTTCTACGTTGTTGTTCTAGTGGCACGTTAAGGGTTGGGGTTTTTTAGCTTACTTTTTCACAAGTTAAAAATACTTCAACATTAATGTATAAGCAATTTTCAGTTTATTCATTGTAGAAATATGTAGCTCTACTAATAAAATATGCATGTCTGAACCATACACTGCTATACACTTTAAGGCTGAGTTAGGTCTAAGTAAGTCATTACATGTTAAGCCTTCCATTCTGAATAAAACAAAAACATTTGGTTCTCAATGAAAATAAGGAACTTTATTAACAAGTTTGAGTCAGAACAAAGCTATTAATTAGGCTTTATCAATACGAAAATCCCTAATTTTTTCATTTGGAGATATGGTGGTTCTCTTTAGCCATGGTTTAAATGTTCACAGTTTTGGCTAATCATAGTCAGTCAACCATGGCCCAAATATTAATGGAAATAGAAGAATTAGTTCATACATTTTAGATTGTGTTCCTCTTAGTGGATCCTGACATCTCCCACTCTCCTGCTCTCCCTCGCCCCCACACACATTGTGTGAATCATCTCTGGTCCAGTGTGAGCTGCACAGGGGTTGGCCTCCCAGCAGCTGTCTAGATAGGCGGGCCTCTGCTTGGCATGACATTTGAGACAGAAACGGCCTGCATGACTGAATTGCCCTGCCTTCCTTCTGGCAATAGTCGATCACAATCACAGCCTTTAACCTCTTCTTCCACTTAAAAAGGCTCACACTGTGAACTATCAGGCAGCCTTTATTATCTGCCTGAAAATTACTCATCGCACAGATAGCCCGAGTTCTTTTGTCTTCCGTTTACTGGTGGCACAAAACAGATGCCAGCCTTAAGGCTTCCAACTTTTCTCAAATACCTCAGTGATCATGTGACAAAACTTGTTTTATGTAACAGTAAACTTGAACACCATTGACAAGGTTAACCTCATATCCCCCAAATCAAAACATACATAATGACAATTTTTGGCAATTTGGTTAGTACTATACAACTGAGAGAAGACCAAAGTGGCTTTGGGGCCACTTTTTGGCAATACTTCATTAAATTAGGGGGTGATAAGATGATACAGAATTTGACTCTCAATGCTGTAACTACCTGTGATAGGAACAAAACAAAGCACCCGAGCAAATCCTGAAAAAAAAAATACTGGTCCTACCAGGACTAAAGCCTTACCTGAATCCTGGTGGCACCTGAGAAAACGAGGAAGACAGAGGTGTAGAAGGAGGAGCTGCTTGTTTGTCCTGGCTACCCAGAACCAAAATAATTCACAGATAAAATCACTGCTTGGCCCATTAGCTCTAGTTTCTTGTTGGCTAACTCTTACATATTAATTTAACCCATTTCTATTAATCTGTATATTGCCATGAGGTCCCTGCCTACCTAAGTTCTCTCCTATCAATAGGCAACTGCAGTTTCTTTATTTATTAATAGCAATCACAGCACACACAGGGGACTCCCACATCACAGATGGGGCACCACAACAATTCCACCTAGTTGGGATGACATTGTGATGCTGACAGAACTACTATAAGATTATTTTCGGGGGGGGGGAGTACCAGCTGCTGAAATGGTACACCTTCTCATGATGTTCTGGACAGAGCTCCAAATAAGAACTTAAAAAAAATAATGCTATTGACTGCTCGAAGATTGTTTGCAACTATACTAGACAGTAATTTTGGAACTTAACTACCATTTAATTTTTGCAGGACCCCATTAAGAAAACATCACCCCCCATGACAGTAGTAGGCAATTCTAGAGGACAATGCCCCATATCCCAAAGCAGTTTGTTTTTAGGGTTGGGAACACTGTTTAGGGGTTGTTGATTATTACTTATACTAGATAGAAGGTTAGGGTGAAAACTATGTTTGTAAAAAAAAAGGATAATAATAGTGGGTAATAGAGAAATATTTGTGAGCTATTATTTATGGATAATTTACATTACATTGGTATAGCTTTTGTATATTAATACAAGTTCAAATTATTTTTGTTATTTTTGTTTACATTGTTTATACACCTATGCAAAGTTATTCTGTCAGATTGTATATATGCATGTTTTTATCTCTGTTTACAACATTTTGTGTATTGATACAACTTTTAGGATATATTTTCATATAGCATTATATATTACTTCTACTTCAGATCAAAATATTTATAGATTATTTACATTTTGAGGTCATTGTCCTCATTTGCTACACATTTGTTTACAGGTTATTTAATATTATGATATAAAGTTTTAGTCCTTAAGTTATACAGGTATTAAATATTATAGGTCAATAGTTGTTCATGTTTGTTGTACATACAGTCAGATCACTTAGGTTGTTTAGATACATAGAGATGTTGAAATAGGAGCGGCGGGGCTGCGTCCCCAACACCCCGGCCGCTTGGCTAGCTCATGCCCGAAATAACAACACACAAACTGTATTCATTTAAGAACTGCTTGGCCCATGAACTCTAGCCCTTACAGGCTAATTCTCGCACCTGGATCAGCCCATTTCTAATAATGTGTGTAAGCACCCCAAGGTGCGCTTACCGGGAAGATTCTAACCTACGTCCATCCTGGGGAGCTTCATGCGTCTGCCTCGGAGCGCAGAGCTATTGCGTCTACCCGGGAGAGCTGAGCATGGCGTCTCTGCTCCAGAGCAGAGCTGCCGGGTCTCTCCGGGAGCAGAGCAGAGTCTGACCTCACTTCCTCTTCCACCCAGCATCCTATTCTGTTTTCTCCTCCCCCCATGTTCTAAGCTATGGGGCCAAGCAGTTGGTTTATTATAATTAACCAATGACCTTCCTCCATCATTTCCCCTTTTTCTGTTTAAACAAAAAAAGGCTTTCATTTTAACACAGTAAAAGTACATATAGCAAAACAGTTATCAAGCAAGAATTACAGTTACAATATATCTATTTTATCTTTTATCATAACTAAGGAAAACTATAACTATCTATTCATTCTTCAACTCCATCAAAGACTCCAGAAGGATATAATAATACTTAAGTAAACAAGAAATCCAAAACTCTAGAAATGACAGAGACATCTTGCTGCCTGGACAGTCACCCAAAGTTCCTCTGTACCGTTGGGGCATCCATCTTCGGCCTACAGGCCCATGGTATCCAGAGACATTTTCATGAAGCAGAAAATTTCAAAGACAGTTCAGTCACTTTCTTCTGTATCCTGCAGAATGTCTCGCAGACTCTTTCATGAATCAGGAACCCCGAAAGACCATCTCACCTTTAGGCAAGTTCAGCAGTCCTCTCTCTGCAGGTTCTTTATGTCCAGTTTATGCAACAGTCCAGGCAAGAGCAGTTTCTTGCCCAAATGGCTTTCGAACTCCATAAGGATCCTCTTCGATGCCCATCTTCCTCTTGAAGTAGCTTGTGCTGCCAGGAGCAGACGTGTCTCCTTGTCATGAAAAGTCCTAAGTTAGTAAAATATTTTAAATGCCATATTCCGCAGTCTTTGAAAGATATGAAGAATGCCTATCTAATTGAAATATATCTCTATATATCTAGAAAATCTAATTAACATGACTACAAGCTTAACTATTAGCGATGATTATACATTAACAACCTATATTTCCTAATTATACATTACATTTTTAAATGAACTACACAATCACAATACCTTAATCAAGATCAAAAATACACATACATATAACAAAATTGACCATAAAATCCATACCAATGCAAATTATTCATATCTATATCATATCCCCCTTTAAATGTAAAAGAACATTTATAAACCATATTTGGGAACATGGGCGTAGTTTTTTCTCTCCAAACTGCTTCCTGCTGAATAGGGGCATCATTAATTAGGTTGTTCATGATATAACCTGTGTGCTAGTTTCATCTCAGTTGGCAATTGAGCGAAGCAATTTTTTGAGGGTGTTCACAGCAACCTTTCAGGAGGGCGTGGTCTATCATACCAAATCGGAATAGATGCAATCCACAGGGTCTCATCCTCTGCAAAAACAAAAGAAGACCCTCTCCAAAGCATCATATCCTTAGACCCAAATTTTGAAATCGTAATACCCTTATATCCATTTTGGTTTAGCTTGGCAGCCCATGTAATGAAATGTCTCTCTGTACTTAGCTCCTTCACAGTCAAAAATTTTAAAGAAAACACAATGTACATAATCCAGACTCTCTGTGAATTTTCCATTTTTACGTGGCTTATTTTTCTTTATTTCTCTTAATCTATAACTCTCTGTACTTCTGTACTCTGTCTCTTTAAAGACTTTACCCTTTTTCTTTTTAAGACATTAACTTTATTCTTTATATTCTTTTTCTTCTCTTTCCCAAGCCTACGTACATTTATCCAACAGTGTCTGAATCTGTTTTATTGTGAATCTGTAATTTCTTTACTATACAGGAGCATTTCTTAAAATGTTAAGCATTTCTTAAAAACTTAAGTTGCACCATTTACAGGTAATACGGTACTGCCTGTGTCCTGCCCAGTCTAAACCTTAACTGCACGGTTTTAAGGTAATTACGGTAGTTCCTGCCTGAGATCAGCACAGTTCAGCATGGAGCAGCCGCTCCTGCCTCAGAGTCATTTGGTGCTTCTGAGCTGAGCACAGTTCCAGGCACACAGCAGTTCACATTGGAGCCGCAATCAGCAGTTTAATTCTGAGACTGAGTGTGCAGCACAGAAACTCTTTTCATCCAAGTTACAGCCAAATCTGACACGCAGAGCACTGTGCAGACTGAAACGCGTCTCTGTATGGCGGCAGGAATCCTCCAAGCTCTTCCGCCTGCCTAAGCCTGATTCGGCCTCTGCCCAGGTGCAGGCGGGGAGCGCTGAGCCATTGGCACAGTCTCAGAGCACTCTCCTCCGATCCCAAGCGGGAACACAAACATCCAGTCCCATAAAAGCCTTGAAATGCTTTAAAGCCAGAGTTCACGCTGGCAGCACAGCCCCCAGGAAGCAGCGCTTTAAAATGACGCAGCGTTTTTTTTTTTCTGCTGCTGTTGCTGAATCAAGAAATTTCTCTACAGCACGCCACCAACAAACAGCAAAAATCTGTGTTAAACTCTCTCCCTTATTTTTAAGCCTTCTCAGGTTTTTAAGTGGATTTAGCCCATCACTTCGGGCGCCACTCTGTTGAAATAGGAGTGACAGGGCTGCGTCCCCAACACCCCGGCCGCTTGGCTAGCTCATGCCCGAAATAACAACACACAAACTGTATTCATTTAAGAACTGCTTGGCCCATGAACTCTAGCCCTTACAGGCTAATTCTCGCACCTGGATCAGCCCATTTCTAATAATGTGTGTAAGCACCCCAAGGTGCGCTTACCGGGAAGATTCTAACCTGCGTCCATCCTGGGGAGCTTCATGCGTCTGCCTCAGAGCGCAGAGCTATCGCGTCTACCCGGGAGAGCTGAGCATGGATGGTGTCTCTGCTCCAGAGCAGAGCTGCCGGGTCTCTCCGGGAGCAGAGCAGAGTCTGACCTCACTTCCTCTTCCGCCCAGCATCCTATTCTGTTTTCTCCTCCCCCCCATGTTCTAAGCTATGAGGCCAAGCAGTTGGCTTATTATAATTAACCAATGACCTTCCTCCATCATAGAGATTGTATTCTATCTGGCTAGGTAACCTTTAACCACTTCAAGGATCTATAGAACATGATAACTTAGGGTTCTATTGATATGAGACATGATTGCTCCTGACACCACCAATCTATTCCTGAAAAAAATGTTGAGCACTGAAGACACTCCACTCGGAATTTGTTTTCTTCTTGGCAAAAGTGGCCTTTGGGCAATGAACTGCCCAAGCCTCAACCACTGACAAGGCACATGGTATCCGAAAATGAATAAGCAAGACTGTCAAATCTTGCCAAGACAGGGTAATATGGTTTTAAAAATATTTCCTGCCTCTAAAAATGGTCTGTCAGTTACACTAGGCTTTAGCCAAAGTTGGTTGCTACAACATTGCAAAATGAGACTTTGGGTGATTGCTCAGGTAGCTAATTGTCTCCATCATATATTGCTTGCTTTAGAAGCTACTTGATTGTACTTCTTGCCTGCTCAAGTCATATTATCTCCCTTCTCAGGATTTAGATGGGGTTGAAGTTCAGATAGTCACAGCTATGCTACTCTTATGATCTAGCCAAGCCATTTCCTATACAAGACTTAGACTCCATAGCATAGAATGTTTATTAAAACATTTAGCATATGTTCCTTGCTTAATATTGTTTATGCTGGTTGTATTTCTAATTTTACTTGATATATGTTCCTAGTGTATATAGTTTGTTTTGGGTTTGGAATGTTCTTATTTAAACAAAAGGAAGAGGTGCTATGGGAGCACATTCTGCCCCTTCAGCCAATAGCCTTTAAGATACCAGCCCACGTGGGTGTGGTCTCTTATACTGTAAAAGCAACTGTAAACATGCGCCTGCTTTCTTGCTTCTGTCTGCTAGACTCTGTTCCTGTTGGTGCAGAGGACTGTTATCTAGGACAGTGATCTGTAAGTTTACCCTTGAATAAATAGCCCTTTTATTATTCATAATAAAATTCTGAACTGGTGTAGGATTGTTTTGTGACTTACGTCATCATAGAGGAATGGTGCTCAGTGTTGGCTTATGTTTCTACTAAGAAACAAATAAAACATGAAGTAAAGGAAAACACCTAGTCCCTCAAGTATAAGACCAAAGTCTTGTTCTCTCCAGCATGGGGAAATCTTAGTAGACATAGATACATTTTCTTTTTTTCTTAATTTTTTAAAAATATTTATTCATGTATGTAGTGGGCGTGTATCCATGCCAAGTTTATATGTTGCTGTAAACCCAATTCAATGCCCCATGCTCTCTAGACAACCATTCTACCAGCTAAGCTATGTCCCCATTTCCTCAAAGTTATGGTCTTGATGCATGCAAATTCATTTCTATAAACTGTTGCTTGAGTTTCATATACATGCCATTGCACATTCAAATATAAACACACAAATGCACAAAATGAATATAATTAAAAATTAAATTATATATGCCTGTGAGGTGCAACATAAAGTTTTGATTAATTTGTACATTAAATAACAATCAAATCAGGATACTTAGCATATGGTTTTAAGCTTTTTATAATTCCCATATGGTAAATGCATTCAAAATCTTTCTCCCAACAAATTTGAGGCAAACTATAGTTTATTGCTAAGAATGCCATAGCATACTCAAACTTCTTCATTCTGCCTTGCTCTACCATTGTCCATTGACCAACCTCTCTCCATTCCATTTCTCACACTCCCCAGACTATTGACTACCATGCTACGAGACCCATTTGTATAAGATCCATTAAGAGCAAGATTTTACAGTGCTCATCCTCCTGTGCGTGACTTTTTCAGTTATTTCTCCCTAGGTCCATCCATGTTGTCACAAATGATGTAGTGTCATATTCTCATGACTGCAAAGTATTCCATAGAGAGAGAGACATCTACACCTCCAAACACTAACTCACATTTAAAAAAAAATCTAACCATCTATTAAAGTCAATTCCATACACATCTCCCATCAATAAACCTTGAAGAGAATATGGGAGAAAGTATTGGTGAGAATATGTATAAGACACCGTTCTTATGAAAATAGGGAAGCCATCTGGAAAATTGCATGAACTTTCCTTAAAATATCTAAAAGTAGAGCTGGTTTTCTGAATAAAAATATTAATGACTTCATTAATGGATGATTCTGTCACAAGAATTTGTCACTCAGTAGAGTAGCACAGATGGATAAATGCATCAGAAATCACAAGCTAAAATATAAGTTTTAATTTGGGAATCAACGTTGACACTTGACTGCATAGGACTTCTATGTCAGGGCTGCATTCCTTTTTCTGACACACAGGTGTCATTTTTTTCTGAATCTCTAATTTTAAACTTGTCCCATGAATTTTACAATGTGTCTGGGCAATCTTTGCACAGGTAGAAGGCTGGCTCTTCAAGGTGCATTTGTCCTCAGATTTCTACGTCCCCAATGATAGACTGTTCCAGAAAGAAGTTGGGAACATCATTCTTCTATATATGAGATGTAAAATCCTGGTGCTAAATATTTTACTGATCTATGAATTTTATAGTATAGATTCCATACTGAAACAATATGAAATCCATAGATCACAACAGCAGGCAGAGGCCCACTAGCTCAGTCCCTGCGTTCATCATTTGTTTTTGTTTTTGTTTGTTTCAGAGCTGTAACAAAGTGTTCCATGTTAGAAGTCTTTTGTTGTTGAAGTTTTTTCTTTTAAAGACAGTGTCTCATATAGTCTTGGATGGCCTCAACCCCACTATGTAGCTGAGGAAGGCTTTAACCTCCCAGCCCCCATGTTTCTACTTCCCATGCTTTGAATATGCAGTCATGTACCGCCATCCATGATCAGTTTATGTGTTGCTGTAGATCTAACCAAGGACCCCATGCTCTCTAGACAAGCACACACCCTCAGTTCCTAAAGACTGTGATTTTGATATCACCCTGTATCATGAGGGACATCACCCATTTTGTGCATTATGACTTTATTGCTGCATTTTAGAAAAGAATGTATAAAATATCAAGAGCCACCTGGTATGGGATTCTCCTCTGAATGCTGTGAATATGTTTTATTATCACTGGCTAATAAAGATACTGTTTTAGCCTATGGCAGGGTAGAATATAACAAGGTAGGAAACCCAAGCAGAGATAGAAGAGGAAAGAAGATGGAGTCGGGGAGATGCCAGGAGTCACTGTAGGAGACAGACACCAGAACCTTATTGGTAAGCCACAGCCTTGTGGCAATATACAGATTAATAGAAATGGGTTAATTTAAAATATAAGAGCTAGCTAGGAATATACCTGACCCATTGGCCAAACAGTGTTGTAATGAATATAGTTTTTGTGTGATTATTTGGGTCTGGGAGGCTGGGAAACAAAAGTACAGAGTCTGTTTACAGCCTAAGAACCCAGAAGGTGACAGGGGTCTCAACCTTTCTCTAAGAAGAGCATCTGAGCTTCATCACCTCAGAGAGTCATCCTAGCAAAACAATACTCTATGTTTCTAGAAGCTCCACTTCCTGG